GGACTTATGGTCAGACAGAAGCATAAACTCAAATATATGGTAGATGATAACAACATAAAATAAAAATGGCCATGCTGGGTCAGACCAAAGGTCCATCTAGCCCAGTATCCTGTCTGCCGACAGTGGCCAATGCCAGATGCTCCAGAGGGAGTGAACACAACACGGAATCATCAACTAATTCCTCTCCTGTCACCCATTCCCAGTCTCTAACAGATGCTAGGGACACTATTCCTACCCATCCCGGCTAATAAGTATTGATAGATCTATCTTCCATGAATGTATTTAGTTCTTTCTTGAACCCTGTTAAAGTTCTGTTCTTCATAACATCTTCTGGCAAGGAGTTCTACAGGCTAACTATGTGCTGTGTGAAGAAAAACTTCCCTTTGTTTGTTTTAAACCTGCTACTTATTAATTTCATTTGATGACCCCTAGTTCTAATGTTATGGGAACAAGTCAATAACTTTTCCTTATTCACTTTTTCTACACCAGTCATTATTGTATAGACCAGGGCTGGGCAAAATATGGCCCGGGGGCCAAATCCGGCCAGCCCCAGCCTGTGGACCACCCTGCCAGGACTCTCAGGCACACGCAGCTGCCGCATTTAACACTGTCATTGTGTTTTTCTGCTCTTCAGGGAGGGGTAGGCTCCATGCGATCTCCCCACCCCCAGCCCAATACTCAGCTCCTATTGGCCAGAACAGCCAAAAAGAACTGACCTCAGCTAATCTCTCAGCTCCTATTGGCTAGAAACAGCCAGCCAATCGGAGCTAAGAGATTGGCCTGAGAGACTGGGGCAGCTGGACTTGAAAGCTACTTGGAGGGAGCAGCCTGTATTTTTAAGCGGGATGGGGCTGCCGGCCAGGAGACACTTAGGTAAACTCCTCCCAGCCAGCGCCTGCCTCTGGCACCCCAACCCCTCCTGCACCCCAACTCCCTCCCCCAGATCACCATCCAAACCCTCTGCGCCCTCTGCCCCAGGTGACAATTCCCTCCCAGGCCCTGTACTTCCTCCTACATCCGTCCCTCAGGCCAGTATCCTCTCCTACACCCACACCCCCTCTCTGACCCTACACCCCAATCCCTTGACCCAGGTCGCAACCCCCTCCTTCACCCAAACACCCTCTGAGACCTCACACCATCTCCTGAACCCCAGTCCCTTACCCCGTGAGCCTTTCTGCATCCAACCTCCACTGTAGACCTTCTACCCCCCTCCACAGAAAAGTGCAGCCCTTGACCATTTATGCAAAATCTTGGAGTGGCCCCTCACCAAAAATTATTGCCCACCCCTGGTGTAGACCTCTATCATATCCCCCCTTAGTCTCCTCTTTTCTAAGATGGAAAGTTCCAGTCTTTGTAATCTCTCTGCAGACGGGACCTGTTCCAAACCCCCAATAACTTTGTTGCCCTTTTCTGAACCTTTTCCAATGCCAATATATCTTTTTTGAGATGAGGCGAACACATTTGTACATGGTATTCAAGATGTGAGCGTATCATGGATTTATATAGCGGCAATAAGATGTTCTCTGTCTTATTTTCTATCCCTTTCTAAATGATTTCTAACATTTGGTTTTCTTTTTTCACATTGAGCGAATGTTTTCAGAGAACTATCCACAGTGACTCCAAGATCTCTCTTCAGTGGTTATAGCTAAATTAGTCCCTATCATTTGGTATGTATAGTTGGGATTATTTTTTCCAATGTGCATTACTTAACATTTATCAACATTAAATGTCATTTGCCATTTTGTTGCCCAATCACTGAGTTTTGTGAGCTCTTTTTGAAATTCTTCACAGTCTGCTTTGGTCTTAACTATCTTGAGCAGTTTAGTATCATTTGCAAATTTTGCCACTTCACTGTTTACCCCTTTCCAGATCATTTATAAATAGGTTCAATAAACTTGATCCCAGTACAGACCCTTGGGGGACACCCCTAGTTAAATCTCTCCATTCTGAAAACTTACCATTTATTTCTACCCTTTGTTTCCTGTCTTTTAACCGGTTATCAATCCATGAGAGGACTTCCCCTCTTATCCCATGACAACTTACTTTACTTAAGAGCCTTTTGTGAGGGACCTTGTCAAAGGCTTTCTGGAAACCTAAGTACACTATATCCACTGGATCCTCCATGTTTGTTGACCCCCTTCAAAGAATTCTAGATTAGTAAGGCATGATTTTCCTTTACAGAAACTATGTTGACTTTTCCCCAACAAATTATGTTCATCTATGTGTCTAACAGTTCTGTTCTTTATTATAGTTTTAACCAATTTGTCCAGTACTGAAGTTAGACTTCCCAGTCTATAATTGCCAGGATCACCTCTAGAGTCCTTTTAAAATATTGGTGTCACATTACCTATCTTCCAGTCATTAAGCACAGAAGCTGATTTAAACAACAGGTTACAAACTACAGTTAATAGTTCTAAAATTTCACATTTGAGTTCTTTCAGAACTCTTGGGTGAATGCCATCTGGTCCTGGTGACTTGTTACTGTTAAATTTATCAATTGGTTTCAAAACCTCATCTAATGACATCTCAGTCTGGGACAATTCCTCAGATTCGTCATCTAGAAAGAATGGCTCAGGTTTGGGAATCTCCCTAACATCTTCAGCCATTAAGACCGAAGCAAAGAATTCATTTAGTTTCTCCACAATTACCTTATTGTCTTTGAGTGCTCCTTTGGCATCTCGATTGTCATGGGACCCCACTGGTTGTTTAGCAGGCTTCCTGCTTCTGATGTACTTAAAAAACATTTTGCTATTAATTTTCTGAGTTTTTGGCTAACTGTTCTTCAAACTCCTTTTTGGCTTATTATATTTTTATACTTAATTTGACAGAGTTTATGTTCCTGTCTATTTTTCTCACTAGAATTTAACTTCCACTTTTTAAATGATTCCTTTTTGTCTCTCACTGCTTCTTTTACTTGGTTTTTAAGCCATGGTGGCATTTTTTGGTTCTCTTACTATGTTTTTTAATTTGGGGTATACGTTTAAGTTGGGTCTTTATTATGGTGTGTTTGAAAAGTTTCCATGCTGCTGCTTGCAGGGATTTTCCTTTTGTCACTGTACCTTTTAATTTCTGTTTAACTAACTTCATTTTTCTGTAGTTCCCCTTTCTGAAATTAAATGCTGCAGTGTTGGTCTGCTGAGGTGTTTTTCCCACCACAGGATGTTGAATTTTATTACATTATGATCATTATTTCCAAGTGGTTCAGTTATATTTACTCCTTGGACCAGATCTTGTGCTCCACTTAGGACTAAGGGTACGTCTAGACTACATGCCTCTGTCACCAGAGGCATGTAGTCTAGAAGTAACCCTAAGATTTACCTCTCCCCTTGTGGGTTCATAGTCACTATCTCTATCCTGGTCAGATGGTCGATAATATATCCCTATTACTATATTTTTATTATTAGGGCATGGAATTACTATCCATAGAGATTGTATGCAACATTTTAGTTCATTTGAGATTTTTACTTCATTTGAGTCTACATTTTTCCACGTATAGAGTGCCATTCCCGCTCCAGCACGACCTGTTCTGCCCTTCTGATATATTTTGTAGCCTAGTATGATTGTGTCTCCTTAATTTTCCTCATTCCACCAAGTTTCTATGATACCTATTATATCAGTATCCTCCTTTAAAACTAGGCACTCTAGTTTACCCAACTTATTACAGGTTGGACTTCCAAAAACTGGGACTCCCTCGTGGTCTAGCAGGACCACAGATGTTTGTGGACCCAGGAGTCCTGGCTGGGAGCCCCAGTGGCAAACGAGTCCTGGCTGGGAGCCCCAGTGGCAAAAGGGCTTGGAATCACTGGGGCTAGGCCTGGAGCCAGAGGCAGACACAGCAGACTTGGTAGTAGAGATGGAGCGGGGATGTGGTATCCCTAGCTGCCCCAGTAGCAGGACCAGGGCTGGGGATGTGACAGCCATGATAGTCCAGGCTGCTGGGGCTCAGGGGGGAGTATCTAGGGCCAGCAGTGGAGAGGAGAGGTGAGCTGGGGGGGCCAGTAGCAGGGGACCTCTCATTGTCCGGCAAATTCCCTTGTTCGGGACCAGTCAGGTCCCAAGGGTGCCAGACCAGAGAGGTCCAACCTGTATTTAGACTTCTAGCATTTGTGTATAAGCACTTTAAAAATTTGTCGCTATTTATCTGTTTGCCATTTCCTGATGCGTTAAATTCTTTTTCATTTGATTGTTTCTCATCTGATCTCACCCATATTTTATCATCTTCAATCCTCTCCTCCTGACTAGAACATAGAGAATCTTTATTAATAGACCCTCTCCTAAGAGATGTCTCTGTCCAGTCCATGTGCTCCTCCACACTTGTCAGCTTTCTCCCAGCCCTTAGCATTAAAAAGGTTGTACAGCAGTTTTTAAACTAAGTGCCAGCAATCTTGTTCCATTTTGGTTTAGGTGGAGCCCATCCTTCTTGTATAGGCTCCCCCTATCCCAAAAGTTTCCCCAATTCATAATAAATCTAAAACCCTCCTCTCTACACCATCGTCTCACCCGCACATTGAGACTCTGATGCTCTGCCTGCCTACCTGGACCTGCATGTGGAACTGGAAGCATTTCAGAGAACACTACCATAAAGGTCCTGATTTCAATCTCTTTCCTAGAAGCCTAAATCTGGCCTCTAGAACCTCTTCCCTACCCTTCCTTATGTCACTGGTACCTACATGTGCCATGACCACCGGTTCCTCCCCAGCACTACACATAAGTCTATTAGATGTCTTGAGAGATCTGCAACCTTTGCACCAGGCAGGAAAGTCATTACAAACCCAGCCATCTTTGTTTCTAATGATCGAATCCCCCATTAATAACACCTGCTTTTTCCTAATGACTGGAGTTTCCTCCCCCAGAGAGGTATCCTCAGTGTGAGAGGATACCACAACATCATCTGGAAGGAAGGTAACAACTATAGGATGGTTTCCCTCTGCTCCAGTTGAATGTTCTCCTTCCAACACTGGCTAAATGTGCTAGTAAAAAATAAAAGTAGCAATCTCAGCAAGACTTATTCAAAAATTTATTAGTGTTTCAGGAAAAATAATAGCAGTGTGAAAAGATACAGAGCTTTGCCTAAATCCTTAGGCAATCTTTATAAGCTTATTTGGCTGTAAAGTCTACATGAGATAGAACTAGTATGTTTTTCTCCCAGAGAACTGGAATTTAAGGAAAGGTTTTTGTAATTACTGTGTTTCAGAACTTAATTTTTAAGACAGGACAGCATTTTTGTGGGGCAATGGGTTATTTATATATTTTCTAATAGGCATTTTGCTTTTCCCAGTTTCTCTTATGGGTGATTTTTTTAAAGATGCAAAGCGTAAGAGAAACATTCAGGCCTTGGTTTTTAAGTTAAGTCACCTTTGCAAACAATAGGTTTGGGAGGATTGCTGATGCAAGTATCATATGGTCTCTAAGGTGATGGTAGATTTTTTTAATGGACTTCACAAAGAATTAAGGCTATGTAGATGACTTGACAACATATTATCAGATAAACACACCTACTTGTTAGACATGAAAGAAGGTTTGACAATAAATAAATGATTTGTGCTGTCAATAACATTATGGAACTGTATAAAACTATATTTACGTTGCTTTAAACAACAAAAACATACTAGTGGCATGAATATATACAACACAGGTCATGACATACGTTTAAATTACCATAGCCAGCAGTGTTTGGTTTTTAAATGGAGACAATATAATAAATAGAAATGTTAAATATTTACAATAATAGCATATGTGGAATCAGTAGATGAACACAGAAGATCTTCACACAGAGGAAAAAAATGTTATGCCATATACAAAATCCCCCACCCCCTGAAAAAATAAAGAAATGTTCATTGAATTAACAAGATGGAGGAATATATACTTCTCCCCATGAAGAATGAATGAGTAAAAGTAAATTGTATGCATGCTGAGGTGATATGTTGACTAAGACATTCAAGAGTGTATATATCATTATATATTTGATTCTCATTATATGTTTGGTTCAACTTTAATGAGAAAGAGACCTTAATAGAGTTAGGTAAGAATATTAACTTGGTAGTCATGGCTGGGTTCTCTTTTTGGTTTGAGTTTGTCCTCAAGGCTTCGTCTACACTGCCGGTTTTGCCAGCAGTGAGTGTGCAAATGAAGCGCAGGTTAGCATATCACTGCACCCCATTTGCATAATTTATGCACACCGTTTTTGTGCAAAAAAAGTAGTATGGACATTTTTTTTGCGCAAAATCCCCGTTTTCCGCAAGATCCTAATGCCTCTTCCTGGGAATCTTGCAGAAAATGTGGTTTTTGCAGGGGAAAAAAAAAGTCCACACTACTTTTTTTTCTGCAAAAACCCTTTGTGGAAAAACAGGGTGCATAAATTATGCAAATGAGGCACAGCAATATGCTAATCCATGCCTCATATGCATACTCACTGCCAACAAAATCGGCAGTGTAGACATAGCCTTACTATGCTTATGCATCATCTTGGGGCAGTGGGATGCTCATGAGGAGTTTGCAATGAGAGAGACTGGAGACTTTCCCTATGACATCACCAGCAGCAAGACACTTTGTTTTGGAGAAAAGAGGATGCCCTTAAAAGTAAACCTTTGGAAGTGGTATATGAGAATTGACACTAGCTGGGGCACTACAGTCCCTCTGATTGTCACCCTCTGTGTGAGCCACAGGCCACCACTGCTGGGACTTGATCAGTCATTTTGTCCATATACTAGAAGGAACTTGCCTGCTCCTCAAGGGTTCGTAGCCTGATTCGATTCTCCAATGAGGTTAGAGGAGTTTTATCAGAGGGTTTAGTGGGAGTAGGATTGGGGCCCTTTTTCTTCAAGAGGTTGATGGCTGCATAACGGTGTAACTCTTCAGATTAATGGTTGTTCCTTGTCCTCCCACCCCAACCAAGGAAATTTACCCCCATGACTTCTATTAAGAATAATGCCCAAGATTCTGCCACAAGATATATGCACAAAGCTCCCACTGAAGACACTGGGAGCCTCCTACATGGGTCCAGAAGCGGAATGTGACTCAGCGAGATTTAGAGCTAAATCTCAGGTGAGGCTAATCACCTCCATGCCCACTAAGCAACAAAGATGTATGTCAGTTCCCTGTGGAAGTTCAGTGCACCAACTTGCCTTTGCAACACTGGTGATTTGACTCTAGGCCTCCTGCAGCAAAAGGCCAGTGCTCAGATCCTCAATGTGATACTGTCTTCCAAGAACGATCATACTTCCTTTATTGGATACTAAAGACCCTACCCATCTTTGCCTTTGGAGGTGACAGCCAATGGCTTAAGAATAACATCCCAGGATGGGTGTTTACAACTTGAGGATCACAACTGCATATAGGGATAAGAAAGGATGCTCCCTAGCATCTCACCCTAACGTTAAATCACTCCGGAAGATTCAGCTCGCCAAACCCCTTTTATCAATCTACATTTCACTTATTCTGTAGGGTTTGGAGGTCACTACCCAGTGTGCTAGTTTTAAAAAGAAAGTGAACCTCTCACGAACCCATAGTCATTTTTGGCACTTTGATAAACTATGGCCAACTTTAGAACACCAAGTCTCTACAGCCCTGAAAAAGTCCATGATGCTGCTTTCAAAGACAATAGATGGGCTAGATTTTCAATAGGCCCTAACAATACCCACAAAGCTTAAGGATACACCAGCTGTTTTTGCCTAAGCCTCAAATTTTGGGTTGCCCACAGGTGGGATGCTGCTGTAGAAAATGCTCCATTGGGAGCACAGCTGTAGGTTCTAAAAAAGAATATGCCTAGGAACTTTGGAGGGCTGTGGAAAAAGTGCTCATTCTGATGCATAATGGTCAAACTGACTTGTCTGGCAGCTGGCTACTTAGGCTCTTGACATCATGGAGTAACTGGATAAATAAAGTTAAGCAGTGGTTAAAATACATACAAGAGGGCACGTAAGTTAGGCAATGTCAGGCAGACAGGAACAATGGCTCAGGACTTATGATAAAATGACATAGCTTAACGTAGCAAGCTCCCTGTGCAATAAACTGGACATTTATTTCATTTGAGTGTCACAACAGCCCACTTTGAACTCTTTCATTCACGGCCATGGGCAGAGATAAGATGCCTTTGGAACTCCGCCATCTGCTTGGCGATTGCCCCGTAAGCTTAGTGGAGCTACTGAGCTGTGAACGGCCTAAGTAATATCTGGCTGGGCTCTCCCTGACCCCTTTCTCCAACCAAAAGAAAAATAAAATCGCAAACAATATCCACGTGTTCTGTAGTTTTGAAAGGGGGAAGGATTTAAAATTTTTGTCTCACCCACTGGTTATGTGAGTGTCAAGTTCTCTGAGTATAAGCAATAGCCCAGAACCACTGCTCTCTCTCTGCTAATCTATACGCTATCACGGAAGTCCACATATCCCACAATGCCCTGTGCTTCACATCACCCCTCTGAATGGTAAAGATTTTGGAATGTCCATAGATAAGAAGATGGACTCAATGGAGGAAGTTTGGTGGAGGGGGAGGGTAAGGTAGGTGCTTCCTTTCACCTTCGGATGTCGGAAAAGTCGGACAGTTCATCTGCCCGCTCAATGATCCCGTGTGCTCCTTTGGGGCTGTGAGCTCCAGCTTTAACACGGGGGTGGGTGTTCGAGTGAGCCCGGCTGCCTCTCTCCCCCTTGGCAGCTCGTGAGCTCTCTCTTTGGTCAGACTCGGGGTATACCAGTATGTCCCCGCGGCTGCTAGACGTTTTCGTGGCTTCACCTGGCTTCCTCTCAGGACCCAGTGTGGAGTCGCTGTGCATGGCTGAGGTGCAGAAGCTCAGGATAGAGCAGAGGCTTCCCCAGTTCTGTTCACACTGGGCCTGGATGCTTCTGGTGATAGCCTTTTTCACTTCGTCCCCGCACGTGAGCAGGATGTTCACCAAGTCGACATATGGTCTGGAGATAAATCAGACAGCAGAAGGGGAAGTTAAAAGAGAATCACGTTTTAAGATGCAAGGAGGTTATACATCAGCAAGAGTGTGTGAGATCACCACGCCTCATTCTTCCCTTGTTTACTCTACAGCACCTGCAGGGGGGCTACCTGTGTTTGCCAACTAGTGGCCAGATGCTATGGAAAACTTAAATGGAGGACAGCAGTTCCCTCACCTGGCAGCCACACTTGCTGAGTGTTTATATCCTGCTTGTTACTACAACTGAGACATGAGTCCTTCAGCAGCACCTCCAGCAGGTGAGCACTAATGTCCCCAACATTCCCCCCGCAAGCTGCATTAGGCATGACTTCCACAGAGACACAGCTAGTTGGGTTACGACAGGCAGCAGATACAGAAGGCTGAATTATCCAGTGGACAAAACAAGGGGGTTCAATCTGGTGCTGCTATTTTCTGTGGAGACCAGCTGTGCATAGTTTAGGGTGCTGGTTGAGCCCTGTACCTGAAGCTCTTTACTTGAAACATGCAAAACAGATCAGAAGAGGTAACAAACTAGGAGAGCAAAGTGGATAAATATACTAAGATTTTACTGTGTTGTTAAATTTAAATTTGTATGAAATCATTAATCTCTGGGGTTGCAACTTCGTTGAAGGAGAGAGTTTAAAGGAATAAAGAATCTAGCTTTGGATTTTTAACTAGGTTGGTTTGCGATTGGGACTTTTTAAAAAAGGTATTTGGTGCATAACAAGTGCTAGAAGTGCACCTGGAAATTTTGACCATTTTCACCATTGTAATATAAAACAGATCCAAACCCCAGACTGGTCCCCAAAAGGGGTCCTTACTGCCACAAGATGCTGTTTTGTTTATACGCAAAGAGAAAATGGTAAAAATAACATGACAAGTCTGCTCATTTTGGAATAGAAAAGGAGGAGATGGTGAGAATGAGCATCAATAATGTTTTTTGGTCTAAGTTTTGTCTTTTATCTGAAACAGGAATTGTGAAGAGACAGGATATGTTCTTTGGTACACACATCAAATGAGCCAGTGAGACTTTTACTCACATCCATTAAAAAAATTGGACTTTGACTCTACAAAAAACATCACCTGAAAAATAGGGATGATAGCGATTAGTCAACTATCCAATAAGCAAAAGCTTATCAGATAGTCGAGTAGCCACTTGACTAATTGCTTCCCCCGCCCCCTTGCTGCCTCTATTAGAGAGAGGCAGCAACGGGGAGGGAAGGAGCAGGAGGGAACTGGCTTAAAGCTGGTCCATTCCCCCACCATCTCTGCAGACAGCAGGAGAGGCAGAGGCACAGTGGGGAACCGGCACGAGCGGGGACTGTTTCAGTCCCTGCTGGTGCCGGTCCCCACTGCCAGCGCTTCTGGTTTTGATATGTACAAGATCCCCCAGGCCTCTTGAATATTTCAAAAGTGCTGCAGGGTGAGCAGGGACTCAAGCAGTCCCTGTTCCATGGCCTGCCCTGTCTGCTGCGAACAGGGGATGGTCCAGCATCAGCCCGTTCGTGGCACACAGAACTGTCCGCTGCAAACAAGGGCTGCTGGACTCAGCGCTGGCCGGGACCGAGCAGTCCCAGCTCACACTAATCGTTGCGCCTCATCATTTAAAATGTAATAAAAGCCCAGCTGGCTCCTGGAGCTCCTTCCATTGCAGCTCTGCACAGCAGTGCTTATCAACTGATCGTATAGTCGATACAAACTATATCGACTACACGGTTACTCAGTTAATCACATTTAAACATCCTTACTTAAAAAAGGGTGGCAAAGTTTTCCTGGTATAGCTCTGAGGAGTGCTTCTTCCCCATTCCTCCTTTACTTCCAACTCTCTTCATCCCACATGCTATCCTGCATACAGGATAGCTGCCTCGTTGTGTTTTACTCAGGTCATGAGGAGTCAAAAGGCTTGGGTGTATTCCCAGTTCTGCCACTCACTTGCAGATTGCCTCTAGGCATATCGCTACATCCAAAATTTTCAAAACTTGTCCTGATTTGAGAAGTCTCTATTTTGGGAACCTAACCTGGAATAGGCAGAGCCTGATTTTAAGAGACACTGAGTATTCACAGTGGTAAATGAGCTTAGTTCAGGCCTGCACAACGCGGAAAGCGGCGAGGGCCATATTACTCCAAAGAAAACAGCTATGGGCTGCAAGTAAGGAAAAAAAAAAAAAAAAAAAGCACATGTTGGGCATACATGCTTCATACAGGCTTCAGCACGCAACCACAGGAGGCACCACCAGGCTTCCATCCAGTGGCCCAGCCGGAAATTCAGAAAATACTGGACATTGCACACATCCAATATTTTCTGAACTTTTTTAGAAAATACCACAAATACCGGATTGTCCGATAGAAAACCGGACACCTGGAAACCCTAGCTGCAAGCGTAGGTTGGAGGGGGAGGGAGGTGTGATACTTTATTAAGAATTTTTCAATTAAATCAGGCCTGTGCAACATATGGCTCCCAATGCCCTTACTCTCTCCTCTCCCAGCATCACCCTGCCCCCCTCCCACTGACACCTCCCCTCCTGCCCTTTTCCTCATTGTCTCCACTTGGCCCCCTGGCATTTGTCTCTCCTGCACCCTGTCCCTTGGTGCCGTCCCCTCTCTCCTGACCTTCCTCCCTCCCCTCAGCACAAGCCCCTTCCCTTCCCCTACCTGGCTTCTGCCTTCTACTCTGCGGGGCTTCTGGAGCCTTTTTTAATTCAGCGGTCGCCGGCTGTGATGTCACAACGCCACATCACACCAGCGTCCTGGCGTCTGCCGGTGTCCCACCCTCTGACTTGCGCTGGAGCTGCACTCAGGCAGCCCGGCGGCGAAAATCGCCACACTTCCCTCTCCCTAGCGGCGTTCCGCTCCTCCGCCCGGTCGGCGGATTCGATGGGGCCGTGCCGCCCAGAGTCATCATTGGCCGCATGTGGTCTGCATGTTGTGCATGCCTGGCTTAGCTTGACAGGCTGGAGGGGTACCAAGTTGGGGAGCCAAAAACAGGCCACTTTGGAGAGATCTGGGCTTCCCCATTTTACAGAGTGGGTATCACTGACTCACCTTGACAAAATACTCTGTTCTTATGGCACTTCTCATCTATGGGGCTCAAAAGTTTTATTTGTAGACAAGCACCTGCCAGTTTACAGCCCATTAATGCAGATCCTGAAATACCAGTGCTGGTGTGAATGTGACACATTGCTTCCCCTCACTGTCCCAGAAGAAACCCAGCACGCTGGTGCCTCCCCAATATTCTATCCCCATTACCATGATAGGGACCAGAAACGGCAATGCAAAAACTACCCCGAAGACACCAGCCATGCTGTTGATCTTAGCCGCAGGAAGGTCCATGTTCATGGAAGGAAATCTGAGCTGTGTTCACTTTAACAAAGTGTAATTAATGATGGAGTAAATTTGTGTCACAGCTGCACTCTCCTTAAATGTAACTTGGAGATAAGGGTGGGATTTTCAACAGAACATGAGACTGGAATTTTCAAATATGTTGGTGCTTAAGAGTGCAACACGGACACTTACTTTGAAAGCTGACTGGCTCATTTCACCTCACGTTTCCTCATCTGTAATGATACTGACCTCCTTGGTAAAGTACTTTGGGATCGTCTGATGAAACGTGCTATAGGAGAGCAGGGTTTACGCAGGTTGGTTATTTATACCATACCCCCAGTTCCTTACCGAAGATGAGCAGTGGTTATTTTTCTGCCTGTGGCTGTGTCCCCCTCTTTCCATCTGCAGAAAAGTGTTCTCTCATTTTTTTTTTGCACCAGCAAATTAAGGGTGGGCACGGACCACAGTAATCTGAGCCTGATTTAGTCCTGCAATTTGGTAGTTTAGACGTGTTGCTACTAAGACTACACGAGTCTTTACAGTCATTGCACTACAGGTGCAAACTGTACTCCCATAAGAGGGGAAATACCAAAAATCTAGATTGTGATCTTTCATTTTGCATGCCTGTGTCCCCCTTTACACTTCCTTGGTAAGCATACAGGATTGATATGAACCAGGAGCATGGGAGCTTTTCGTCATGAAACACAAGTCAGTTTCTGTGACTAACATCAACAAGATGCTTTAGGAATCTGAATACTTTGGAATTTCATAAAGCAAGTCTGAAATTGACTGCAACTAATCTTCATGAAAGATTATGTTGTTTGGCAAGTATGACGTGTCATTTCTGTGACTATATTTACCTAATGTAAATACCATCTTAACCACTTGACTTAGGTCTTCTCTCTCTCTGTGGTCCATTTGTTTTCTTTTTAAGAATATAAGATCTTTGGGGCAAAGACTGAACCCTCTTTTGTGTTTGGAAAGTGTTTGGCACATTGTGGGTACTTCTGGAAACAAATAATGTCAAAACCATGAAAAGAATTGATCTTACTTCAACACGTGTTTCCCCTCCCATGGTCATGGCTTTGTAAAATAATACTCATCACATTTGTAACAGGTTAACTAGTTTTTCCAGCACCTCTACAAAAGAGAATTATCCTCATTTTACAGATGGGAAATTGAGGTAGAAGAGTGAAGCGATTTGCTCAATGACACAATGAGGTCACATGGAACTCAGCACTTCCTGTCTTGTGGGTTGTACATTCGTTCACCCACCTTAAGGTGAAGCTCCTCCATCACCCGACTACAATACTAGGCCCCTTGCACAGTCCCACTTACTCATGCTGCAGCAGGTCTTTGAAGTGAATCATATCCACAATGACTTGGACATTCTCCTTCGCAGCAGAGCAGAGGTCATGTTTCAGGTAGCACTCCCGCTGTAACTGGAACACCATGTCTTTAATGGCAGGACACTTGCGACTGATGCAGCTGAATTTGTGTCTCAGGGCGTGAGCCTTACACTTCAGAGCATCTTTAATGAAGGATTTTCCCTGAGGAGATCAGAAATAGAGTAGATATGTATTTGTGTCTGTTAAGCACATCAAGTGATTTACACTCAAATAGCCTCTCCTACATGCGACAGCGTCAAGGATTATTAGACTGCTAAGGCCATTGGGTTTTTTTCTTTGCTCCTAAAGGCCATGTCAGGCTGTCCTGTCTTTCTAGAGGGGTTGGATGCTGCTTCTTGGCTGATTGTGTGAGGTTTGCTGTACGATTATGTGATGGTTTCATTGTCTCCTCGCACCACTAAGGTATATCTATGCTACTGTGAGACTGATGCTCTGAGACTGATCCACTGGGTCAAGTGAAGACCTGCCAGATTGACTGCAGATCACTCTCCAGTCAACCCTGTTACTCTACCCCAGATGAGAAGAATAAGAGAAGTCAATGGGAGTTTCTCCTGTTGACCCTCTACAGTATAGAGCTGGCAGTAACTTGACTTAAGGACTTATGTAGCTGGAGTTGCATACCTTAAGTCAACTTTCTGCTGTAATCTAGATGTAGCTTAAGTGTCCTGCTTTTAGCACAGACCTAGTCCTTGCTGGCCTATGAGAGAAAAGTGGAGGTTTCATTTTTAAACAGACAGTCCAACTTAATGGTCTGAATTCATTCCCGGTCTGTCACCGTAGAGGACATTGGGTTCACGTTACTACTATGAGTGACCAAATACATTTGCGTCTCCAGGACCAGAAAGGGGATATTCGAAGTCAACTGCATCAAAACTGACTTTCCTTATCAGTTTGCAAAGTTCACATAGGAAATGCTTACATAAAACCAATGTCTTTAAGCAAGTCACTGGCTTCAGTGATACCCTCTTCCTTCCCCCCCTCCCCCCCGAACAAAAGGGTCCCTAAATCAAATTACCAGACACCAAACAGTAACATCTTGATATTTGTGTCTGCTGAAGGGAAACATTTCTATTTTAAAGTCCCATAAGGGATTACAGGGAACAGCAGAAAAAGAAAAAGTTAAAGACAATGAAGGCTATTTAGGCAAGGTCCCTTTTATCCATCATCCATGCTCTCCTCATATTGCTTTACAAGGCATGCCCATCCCTATTTTTTCCCCCTCTTCCCACCTTTTGATATTATAGCCAGTTTTATTGTATATGCATCTCAATTCTTTTGACAACTAGACAGCTTTTCTTTCCTTGTTGAGTGATAGCAGGATGGTTGTGAACCTGTATTGCCACATTAGCCTCAGGCAGTGTTCCCTCTAATTTTTTTCCCCATTCACGTGCAGAATAAATTTTGTTATGTGCACCAATGCACATGTGCACCACTAGTAGAAACACATGCTACCAGCTGTGGGAGCTCTGCTAGTCAGCTGGGCAGCATTTGAGCCTCTCTTGGGTAGCTGCTGGGAACACTGGCATCAGGTTATCCCAGCTGCTAGTTGTTTTGTGATCAGTGGTGCAATTTCTGCTCTCATGGACTCTAGATTTTTACCCTTGTAACTCTACTAATATCAGTTGTTATGCCATATTCTCAAAGACCTGAGAGCAAGACACACATGCTCTCCCCACTGATCAAAGTACTGCGCCAATCACCATCACTTTTCATTCCAAGTGCTAGGTTTACTTCTTTGACCTTGCATTCACTAACAAACACACATAGCTCAGCAGGCATTAACTAAATACTGTGCATATACAAGACATTTAAAAACAAAATCCCAATCTCACATTTTTTCTTTTGGAGAGAAAAATTGGAGTAAGGAAAAGAGAACCACATGTAACAAATGCTAGTCATATTGCATAATGCACTTCTGGCACTTGCTCAGATAAAGCTAGTAAAAGAAACCGAAGAGAAGAGAATCAAGTCAATGGGAATTGCACATGTATATTTCAGATGACAATTTATTTCCACAGAGCCCAGTGTCTTCACACTCCAGTAGAAACAGTTTGGATGTAAAATAGCCCTTGTTCTCTTTAAAGATGTGAGCATATCCAATGAAGCAATGATTTGCTGGTTTTAATGCAATAATTTCACGTATGTGTTTGGTTTTCCCATGGTTTTACTTCCATAAACTTTTTTTGTTAATAATATATAATTGGTAAAATAAAATCTCTAATTTTCATTCTCTGGCAACTGCCTGGAAACTAAGACCCTGATTTTCAAAGATGACCAGAGGATCTGGACATGTAGTTCCCATCAATTTTAAGGGACATCTAGATCTTTTATGTATTTTTGCAATTCTCTGCCTAAAATCTCCAGCACAGGGGAATTTGTTTTTCTGCTAGGACTGCTCCCTTGGTCCAACTAAATAGAACAGCTGGATCTGCAAAACAGCTCTGCTTTCTACCATTCTATATAAAGTGCCATGAGACTACAGCTGGGTGACTTCAGTAAAGTTATGCTATAAACTACACGCGTCAAGCCAAATGCCGCTGGCCCGTCGTAATGTTCTCTTCTCTCCACACTGAAATGGGAGAGTAGGTTTACAAGACATAATAACAGGATGCTTCAGTGATGCGTAAATGGTCTGGGGAGAAAATGAAGGAGACAAACTTAATACCGCATACTGCCTAAAGAATGTATTTTATTGTCAGTGTGAGAGCCAAAGAACTATTTGAATACAGCAGCTTCTGGAGATGCCTATCCTAGCTGTGTGTAGTTCTTAAATATTATTTAATTACACATTGGATTACATCCAATCCAGTTTATAGGACTTCGGCTCCTAAGCCACTTAGATGGTTTGGAAAAGTGTATCCATTGACCCAGTGGAATTAATTTGATCAGATTTGCACAGGGAATGTTCAAGTGTGATACTTTAGTCTACAGAGAGATTTTTAGCATCACAGATGCATATCATTTAAGTAATAAAATGATACATACAGAATAGTGTCTGCCCCAAAGAACTTACAATATTGCAACCTATTGGCAGATTGCTCATTGGTGTCAGCCAGCTCAGTCTTACAGTCCTTAATGAATGTAGCAGCTCTGAGGGGACTGCAGGATCCGTCATCACCATCTCATTTTTGTTATCACAAGTCCACTAAGAAAAAATTCTTAGGTGGAGATACAGCAGTCTATACTATAGATAATCTGTTTCCAAAGACAACTTAAACACAATGCATATATTACTCTGTTCTTGGGACCTGATACAGCACTAACCAAGTCAATGAGAGATTTTCCCATTGATCTGAATAGGAGCAGAAAGAATCAAGCCCTTGGTTGTCTGCATCCAACTCTCAATAAAGTGAAGTGGGAATTGGATATGTATAAGACCAGACCTGAGTCTTAATTAAAGCCCTATTTGAAAGATGTATTAAAAACCCATTAAATATAGCATCTTCTAATCATTTACTTCTGGGAATTTTACTTTCTTTTCTTTTTGGTTACCTGGGCATCAAATTTTCCAGCGTTGTGTAGGAAAGTCATGCAGATCTCATGTAAGCCTCGGATCTCACAAGAGTTGTTTTCAAAGCATTCAAACACTCCACATCCCACATCGCCAGCATTAACCAGGCAGTGCTGGATTTCAGCTAAAATGACCATGGATTATGGTTAATTTGTACAAATATTCATAAATGGAGTGTGGGGGAGAGGGGAGAGGAGAGAGAGAGAAGAGTTATTTTGCTAAGATCATCAATTCACAAGAAAAAGCACAAGACAACAGTTACTGTACCCACACAGCCTGTCTACTTTTTGCAGAAGTTAGATCAATATTTATATGCATTTAGTTATGACTATGAGAGCCAAAAAGTAAATGCCAAATCCCCATTCCACTTACTTCATAGCAGTATTCACTTGAAAATGTCTAATGTTTCACTCTTCTGGAGCATGCAACAGACCTCATCTATAATTCCTACTCTCCTAAAGTCAGTCCTTCATTAACTTGAATGGGAATTTTGCCTGAGAGAGAACTGCAGGTTCAGGCTAGCGGTTGTATCTGGTTCTCTCAACTAGAGTCTGATGATTAGCACAGTTTTGCTGACCACTGAGG